TATATATATATATATATATATATATTTGTATATACATTTATATAGTCGAGATAGCGGTGCGTTGACGCGCAGTGTATCAGGTGTATATAATCACACACAGTAATAATTTGTGATTATTTACTCCTGAGTATATGCACCTCACACACACACACCTGCCGGTGCGAGAGTGCTTGCCGGCTCGCCACGTGTCTCTCCTATATTCTTATCATCGGAGCGCTTTTCTTATCACCGGCCGTGTGTTATAATAGCTCATCCGTCACCTGTCGCCGGGATCACAGGCTCCCACGCACTTACATGCATGCGCACGCACATACACACACATAGGCCTACATACACACGCGCGCAAACACATACGCACAGACATACGCACACACAGACACACGCACGCACACACAGACACACGCACGCACACACATACACACACGCGACGTGTGTGTCATAGCTGGTACTCTCTCAGTAGCATTTCGGCTCGTACACAGTAGGCCTGTCTACGTCATACTGTCTTAGAAGCAAGGCTCCCCCACACACACACACATGATCTACACGTGTTGTAGCTGCCGCTGTCTCAGAAGCAAGGTTCCCCACATGCACGATCTGCGTGGCACGTAGGCCTAAGTAGTATAATATACCCTAACTCCTGCTGGAAGCAAGGCACCCACGCACATCAGCCTCGTTTGTGTGATACGCTTTGTAAGGCTACCTAGGCTCCCAGAAGCAAGCAAGCCACGCATCTACGCGCATCGCACTCAAAACTCCGTGTTGGAAACAACGCTCCCACATACCTACACTACCTACACCCACCACACCTACTACGCTCTATCAGTGAAGCTATCCGTACCTATACCGCTCGCCACCAGGTTTCGTCTCGTATGTAAATGGACAATCATCCACCTATAGACGAGTGTGTGAGACATAGTGACACTAGTGCAGGTATTGCGTAAGGAGGAGGGAGGATATCTGACCCCGTGGAATTATGGCTGGACTCATGGCTCTTACCGCCGCTCTTCTACTGACGACGCTAGTCTCAGGTATAAATATTATATATATATATATATATATATATATATATACGATATCAAAAATATATCATTATTATCAGTTCATTTTTTTGTTCTGGTTGATATAAGTTGGTTACTTTCTTTTTTGTTTTTGCTGTTTCGCTGACAGCGCGCTGTTTACCCCAAGTAAAAAGTAGAAAGCGTGGGGCTGTATTCCTGGTCACACCGATTACTATAGTCTTCTTTGGATAACTTTTCCGTTCGCTGGAACAAGCGCTCGAAAGATTCTGCCGTTAGTAGTGCCGACGTTAGGACAGTTAGTGATAGTAATTAGTATCTGCCGTAGGTGTCGTACTACCATTTACGGACTGTCTGGCTACGATCCCTAGCGTTGATATTGAAACAAATCGCTATACGTTGCATGAGATTTATTGATCGATTGATTGATTGATGGATTGCTTGGTTGTTTGATTGATTGAGTGACTGATTGAATTGATTGATTGATTGATTCTCTAGCCGATGAAGACTACTGGACATCTACGGGTGGCTATGACACGTGCGCAAATTCGCCGTGGGGGTTGATAGCGCATGTGTGCTAAACTAGGATTGTGCCTGTATATTTTGTGAACGTCTGGTCCTAAGGTGAATACAAAGGGGGCCAATGGCGACAGTAGAACAGTGGAGCGACATGCGCTCCAGGATCTTCGCTACCTATAACGCTACAAATATGCTTTGCGATTAAGTGTAGGTTAGGGATAGCGGTAAGAGTAGTGGTAGGGCTAGAGTTGAGTAGAGGTTAATAGTCGAGTAATGTTAACGGTAGCGAAACTCCTGCTTGGTGTACTGTTCTGGAGGCGATCCCTCAACGAACAGCACACGTTCCACCGTCCACGGAGCAGAACCCTTCAATTACAATCGTCTCTAAACGACTCCGGTTTGAGTTATTCCGAACTTCCAGAATGGTTTCACGAAGTCGGAAAGGGACAGGCTTTTCTGCCGGTGCAATACATTGTTGAGCCGATTGAAGGTTCGTTGTGCCTACGGAAAACTAATATGCTATTAGGGTTACGGTAGTGTTCGATAATCAGTTACGCACCTAATGAAGGTGGTCTGCTCCCTCCCCATCTCGCATTCCCCTCACCACCCCGCATTCCCCTCACCACCCCCGGGCATAGGCACACGAAACCTCCCACGCGCAATTTCGGGGCGTGTCGCGTACGCACGCCTTCGATGTCAGAACTTTCGTTAGCTCGGGAGACAACAGCTGTCGATGTTTTCTTCCCGCAGGGCTACGTAGTGCGCATCAGCGGTGGCAACGACAAGCAGGGCTTCCCCATGAAGCAGGGCGTGCTGACGTCGGGCCGAGTGCGTCTGCTGCTCAGCAAGGGTCACTCGTGCTACCGTGTGCGCCGCTCGGGCGAGCGCAGGAGGAAGTCGGTGCGCGGATGCATCGTAGACGCCAACCTCAGCGTTCTCAACCTCGTCATCGTCAAGAAGGGTGCGTGATTTCGGAGCGTGTCGCGTTTGTGCGCCTTCGTTGTTAAAACTGTCATTAGCTGAGGAGACAAACTGGTGAAGTAGCCCTAGTAACGATTTTGGTGACAACACTTTGGGGGGGACGAAGAACTCGGTAGAGTTATCATCGTTCTTACTGGAGTTTGGGACAAGTAGTTAGGCGTAGGACTAGTCTTAGGACTAATCGTTGTTGTGCCCATGCTAACGACTTTGTATGTCGTCCGATTGAAATTATTCTTTGATGAATTTGGTACTATTTTTATTGCCTTAAAATTAAGCGTTGCGCAGTGTTTTTAGCTCATCTGACGATGTCAGATGCAGCTTGTAGAATCGCATGGTTGTCCGTGTGTCCGTCTGTGTGTCCGTCAACAGTTGGGTACAAATCTTAACCGCTCGACGTACGGTCACGATATTCGGGATGTGGGGAGGGGGGATCGTGAAAAGGACTCGGGATAATCAATTTGGGGGTTAAGGGTCAAAGGTCAAGATGTGTAAACGGAGGGGGAATATTTCCCCCTTAACTTAAGGTATAGGAGGAAATACGGAATTGCGGCACAAATCTGAACGGCTCGACCTATGCTCTTAATATTCGGTGTATAGTGTGATGGGCAGGAAACACATCACCAATGCGAAATTGGAGGTCAAAGGGCAGTGGGGGAAAGGTCAGATATCAGACATTTTCTGAGGACGTGGAAAACTTTTTTGTTTCAGCGCTGACCTACCATTTTTATCACTTTATTGAAAGGACCATGAAATTTGCTTTCCACTGACGTGCGAAGAGTAAGTGTCTGATAACCTTTTGACCCTCAAGAGGAGGGTTAAACTAGTTCGGATTATCTATTTCCTGCACCTAGTCAGTATGCACGCCATCTATCGGAACAGAGTGAGAAGAAGGTCCCGACAGGATAGGTCAAATGTATATTGCGCTCAAAAGTGCAGAAATAATTACTTTCTTAACTTCAGTTTAACCAATCTTGAGATAAGTAATTGCAGAAATGAATCGTCAAACCTACCAATGAAAATTTGCCAGTTTTGTACTGTCCTTGGCATGGCGTGCTCTCTTAACTAACTTCCTGACTGTGCCGTGACCGTGTCATGATCAGTTTCGCGCGTAGCGACTCTTGCATCCCGTGCGACGTCCCCGCCGTAGTGGCGCCACCTGGTCATCTGTTTCCGCATGGCTTCACCGGGGCAGTTCGAGCACATGACGTCGGCGTGTGTGTGGATCGTGTAGTCAGCGCTGAGGTGACCCTGCATGGTGCAAGATAAAGACGCGTGTGTGTGTGTGTGTAGCGGGGAAAATACTACTTGCAGTTCTCTGTTCATAGCTCTCTCTCTCTCTCTCTCTCTCTCTCTCTCTCTCTCTCTCTCTCTCTCTCTCTCTCTCTCTCTCTCTCTTCTCTCTCTCTAGCTCTCGATCTCTCTCTCTCTCTCTCTCTCTCTCTCTCTACTCTCTCTCTCTTCTCTCTCTTCTCTCTCTCATTCTATTGTCTCTTTTTATTTCTTATTTATTGTTTTCGTCCCCTCTATCTTTCTCTCCCCTTCACCCCCTCTCCCCACTCTCTTCGCCTCGCCCCTCCTCTCCCCCTCTGCTCTCTCTCTCTCTTCTCTGTATACTGCTTGACTCCACAGTCCAGCAGCGTGAGTAGAGCTTTGACCATCAACCCGCTTTCTCTCCGCCCTCTCCCCCTATCTCCCCTCAACCCTATCTCTCCCCTCTCATCTTCCTCTCTCTCTCTCTCTTCTCTTCTCTCTTCTCCCTCCTCCCTTCTTCTCTGTACCTGCTTGACTCCAGCAGTCCAGCAGCGTGAGTAGAGCGCTTGACCATCAGCCGTTTGCGGCTCCGTCTCGTAGTCGCCGATGAAGGCGATTCCGTAGCTTATCATGTTGTGTCCGAGCGTGTGCCGCCCATCACGTCCCAGCCAGCCCCTCGTACAGCCTGACCGTGTCTTTTGATCACCAGTGCCACCGATGTCTAGCCAACCTGAAACGCAACGAATGATTACGTCAAAATTGCGAAACCCCGATTTATGATTTTTAGATTACTACTTTGGTTTCGATTAAATTTTGTTTTAGTTTCGGTCCGTTTCACATTTTTACGTTTATTTTTATTAGTGTTAAATTTATTTTATTTAATAGTTTGAATATGCGTGCACGAAAATTATTCGAATAGCTCACAAAATAGGAAGGCGCTCTAAATTGTAGAAATTCGCATCGAAATAATCAGTCCCAGAGAAGAGTCACATCTATAACAATTAGTTTACTTAATACCTTCTTCTTATCACTGTTACTCGCGCATATATTCGACGTCTAAGGGCATTCCTATCGATATCCAATAGATATCACTATACCAGGAGTGTTTAATAGAGAGATATTATATAATATAATATATATATAATAATAATCTATAGTATACACTCCTGACTATACTAGTAGTTGTGTTGCAGTAGTGCGGTAACAGCTGCGCTTACCCATGTTAAACATTAGGTTCTGCGCTCGCTTCAACTCATGCGTGCAGGCGAACGAGTCCGCACAATCCAGTACGGTGGCATTCGTGTGGTGAACTATGACCTTGGTGACGTAAGGGGCCAGCGGAGGAGCAGCGATGCGATTCGTCCGCTCCCCATTGTCTCCGCGTGACGTAATCACCACAAGCCGGCTCTAGGCGAAATAAAGAGAAACTAGAAAAGACTCGAAAAAAGAGGCGGAGAAGGATGATGAAAAGGAAGAGCAGAATAAAAGAAACGAGAAATAACGAAATATGATAAAGGGAGAAGAACAAAAGAAATAAAGTAATAACTTTAGGCAGCTCAGAGAGCCGCAGACCTCCGCCAAGGCAGCTGCAATTCTCTCACCTGTGAAAATTTTTAATTAAATTTATTAATTTATTAAATAATTAATTGATCCGGATCACCACCAAAATGTATCAAATTCTAAGTACCCATTTTCTGACCTATCCCTGAAAATTTAATTCATTATTGGAATCCGGATCACTACAAAATGTCAATCAATTCTAACGTTACGCCCATTTCTGACCATCCTGAGAAATTTTCATTAATTAAATTAATTAGTTAATTAATTATTGATCCAGGATCACTACGAAAAACTCTCATCAATTCTAAGTTAGCCCATTTCTGACCTATCCTGAAAATTTTTATGACAATCCGTCGCATAACTTTTGGGCCAAGTTAGGGCTGTAACACAAACCCACAAACCACACAAACCACAAACCAACACTCAAGACACACGCCGGTGAAAACATAACCTCCGCCAAGCCCCTGGCGGAGTAATAATAATATTATCAAGATAACGAATAAGAACATGAAAATTATGATGAAGAAGAAGGAGAAGAAGAAGAAGAAGAAGAAGAGAAGAAGAAGAAGACGAAGAAAAAGAAGAATGAGAAGTGAAGAAACTCACTCACGCACATACCCAAACTTCACTCATTTCCTTTACTTACCGTTTTTTACCGCTTCGTAGCACACGGGTGCCCGTTATGAGGTCCATGCGCTATCAACCCCCACGCGAATTCGCGCACGTGTCATAGCTCAGCGCCGTTATAAAGCATATATTTCGCAGTAGTCCGTTCATCAGGCTAGAGAATCAATCAATCAATCAACCAGTCACTCAATCG